TCAGATGGGAGGAGTGCAGAGAGCAGCATCATCTTTGGCTCGATCTCAGAGCCAGAGTCAGGGTAGAGGCCAGCCACTCTCGTGTTATCAGTGTGGTCAGCCAGGGCATATGAAGAGGTATTGCCCGCAGTTGGGTGGCACACCTGGTGCATCTAGTTTGAGGCAGATTCAGGGTCAGCAGCCAGCTCAGTCGGGTCAGGCCTCGAGGGCCAATCAGGGGGCTTCATCGTCCCAGTCAGTGCAGCAATCTTATGCTCCTAGGGGTGAGTAGGTTGATCAGAGGTTAACCATCTATTGAATGCTATTGCTTTATCTAATGCTTATATTTGGTTTAGTATATTTCTACTGGGCTGTGGCTCACCCTTTATGGGAACATCATTTTCAGGTCCAGGTGATAAGCTACCTCCCAGGACTTAGCTTGGAAGGATTTGGATTGTGAAGACTATCTTTAGTTGTTTGTTTTTATTTGATAAATAATCAAGCCTAGGGCTTTATTTGTATTTGAGTTAGAACTCATATTTTGTGTCCAAGTGTTGGCTTGGAAAGATGTAAGCCCATAGGGCATTTAATTTGATGTTACATGTAATGTTTTTATTTAGTAATACTCTGATGAATGAATTAATAAATTGTTTTCTTTAAATAATGCATGTCGATGATATACATATAATGGGTTTATTTTGAGGGCGTTACATGTCTTAATTAGTGAAGAAAAACTAATCCCCTTATCTTTGATCTTTAGTTTTGGGGAAGTTTTTGGAAAGAACCTAGCTACATGAATGTTGAATAGACCTAATATTATACTGAAAAATAGAAGAAAAAGAGATTGTGTGGAAATCTAGAAATAACTACTTTAGACACTTTTTTTTTTTTTTTTGTTGCTTTTGTTGAAGTTTAAAAGAAATTTTATTTTGCCTCTCAAACTATCACTTAATAATCAATTTAACTCATGTCCTTTTAATTATATTAATTTTACACCTAAACTATTAAATTTTAGATCAATTTGACCTCTACCTTTAGCTTCCATCTAAATTAGATAGAATTTGCTAATGAGGCATCGAAACTTTATCTAAAATTTTATTTTCCCTCCTAAACTATCTCTAAATATCAATTAGACCCTTGAATATATTAGAAAACTTAAATTTAAATATTTAATTAATAATTTTTTATAAATAAATTTTAAATAATAATTTTTACAAAAAAATATTAAAAAAAATATAAAAAGCCTTATTTAAAACTGTCTCTTTAAGCCTCTAATTACCTTGAGTCGATTCCTGATTTATTCTCTCTTTCATAGCAATTGTAGCTAGTTTATTCCCTAGATAAATTTCAATAGGATTGATCGATTAGTAGTACGTTGAAAACTGAGTGGGTAAAAATCTATATTACACAAATTGATCCAAATCAAATGATTTAAATATAAAAATTGATATAATTAAAAGAATAGAGGTTGAACTAATTTTTGAGTGATAATTTGGGGAACTAAAATTTCCTCTCAATTTTTTGTCATTGTTGTGGTTGGGTTATTGGTTAGAGAAATTTGTGATCTTACACATTTTTTTACTGCTTTTGTAGATTTCTACTTAGTGCTGCAACTTGACCGAATTCAGCTTGAAGTGTATAAGGATTTTTCTTGAATTAACATAAAAATTTTAACTTGAGTTGAGCAATGAGTTGTCCTAAATCAATAAACTGCACTTTCTACTATAAAAAAAAATAAAAATAATTAAATATGGAGCATATAAGAAAATTAATTTGAGTTATACACACCAAACATTAGAATTAATTTCCTTGCAATATGATTAAATCTAACTGTATAAAAATAATTAATATTTTATGGTATCTTTTATGTTTATTATAAGTAATTATATATTTTAAAAATAGAATTTAGATTGATCGAGTTTGTAGAGTCTCTACCTAGGTTTTGATTGCAATTAATTTGGAATTGACAAATTTTAATCTAAATCTTGACTAAATTAAAATTACATTACTGGACCTCCCAAATTTTTATAGTTAAACTCAAGTTGCTCAAGTTGGCACCCCTATCTTTATTAGGTGATGATAATACTTTTGAATCCTGGCTCTGACTAGAGGAGTAATTTGGGCAGACTCAACAGTCCAAAATCCTTCTATGGTTCGAGTGACAATTTTTTTTTTTTTTTTTTTTAATTCGGTGCAAACTTAGGTAAAAATTCAGCCCTAGCTTGCCTAGAGGCACTAGGCAACTTGAGCGACTTAAAGCTTCTATATAAACATACATATAAATTATTAACCGTTGAATGATATTAAAATAATCTAAACTGTTATTATCATATAAACAAGTAGGGTCAGGCTTAGGCTTAAGCAAATGAGTCTGAATAACAATCGAGTTTGAGTAGAGTTAGGCAACTCTCAACATAAGTTGAGTTGGATTTGAACAACTTCTAATTTTGGCTTGTAAACTTGGGAATTGGCCTTGTATATTATCAAGTTGGTGATGTTTATATTTGAGAAAAGTACTTATACTACTTAGGATTATACTACTTACGAGCAACAACCAAAGTTCAAGGGTAAAATTAATGCAGGTTAATTGTACTTTTCACTACTGTAGTTTGACCCAAATTTCATTTAGTGCCTATAGTTTCAATTTGAGCAATTTGATCCTTACATTTTAAGTCTAGTTTTAATTTGGTTCTTCCGTTTAAATTTTTGTTAATTTTGTCACTGTATGCACCTTAGAAAATTGATTGTCTAACAATTATTAATTTTAACTTTTAATTTAGATGGAAGGACCAAATTGAAAGTAGACTTAAAGTGACAAGTGTCTAAAAATTGTTAATTTTAACTTTAATTTAGACAGACAGACTAAATTGAAAGTAGAATTAAGTGAAGGGATCAAATTATTTAAATTGAAACTATAGGGACTAAAGTGAAATTTTAGATCAAACTATAAGGGTAAAAATTGTAATTAATCCAATTAAAGCAATTGAAAGTAGATTGACTAAATTGACACAAACAAGGATCACCATTGTAATTTACCCAAGTTTTTTTGGCTAAAAAGTCAATAAACTAAAAAAATTGCTGAAAAGTCATTAAAAATAATCAAACACAGTATTCACTTTATAAAAATAAAAAAATGTTACTAAAAAAAAAGTCAACTATAATATATATATATATATATATATTTTTGGGTACAAGTGGGCTGTAGAATTTTACCTAATTGTGATAGCTCAATTGGCCATTTTTGTATACTTCTATTCATGAGATCACAGGGGTCAATCCTAGTATTTTTGTTTTGGATCAAAGATAGCATTAGTATGTTAGTACAATTAGATTACAACTAAACGATTCGTTGCTGCTCTATCAACTCAAAACCCTGGCCTCTCACACACTACACCTTAAAGGTGTGGCTATTAAACCATTGAGCCACACTCCAATGTCCAGAGAGTCCATCCTAGTCAATGACAAAGACTGATTATATTCTCTCTTATTAAGAGAGTTGTCTATAGGCCCTGTTTGGTGTAGCTCTTAAGATAGATTATAGATTATAGCTTAACAGATTATAGATTATGACTTTAATTAGAAACTGTTATTCTGTTTGGTGTAGCCGTTAGATTATAGATTTAAATTGTTGAGTAGTGTTTGTTAAATAAGCTATGAAGTAGCTTTTTCAATTAACTTTTATTTTTTGTTATTCATTACTTGTCTACATTTCTCATAAATAATAATAATAATAATAATAATCTATAGTCCATTTGGGTTTTTTTTTAAAAAAAATAAAAATAAAAAAATAAAAAAAAAATCTAAAAGTA